GAACAGTTAACCCAGAGGAGAGGAAATTGGCCACTGTAGTTTTTTACCTGCTTCCAGAAAGACTGTAGAGAAATCGAGAGGCCAAAGGCGCAAGTACCCATCCTCAGAGCCCGTCGCGCAGAAAGCAGAGGAGATGCTGATGCTGTTTACAGCAATCCCTGGTCCTGACAACACAAGATAAGATTTTTTTTAAATCTATAATTATAGTCCATAATTAAAGTCTATAATTATACTGTTTTAATACAGGAGAGGCCTAAGGTACCTTCTTCTGGTTGAAGAGCTCACTGTTCACATGTGGACATCTAAATCCATAATATCAACCAGGAAATAATCCCTTGTAAATTAACCTCGCTCCTAAACTAGGTATGAGTTACAAGAATGCACTAATGCCAGAGTGTGCTGGATTCCTTCTGTTCCTCTCTGAAGCCTACCAGTGGCCGGCAGCCATATCACTCTGCAGCTCCCAGCTGGCAGCCCACTGAAGCTCAGCAGGTGTGAGCCTGGTCAGTACCTGGATGGGAGACCTCCTGGGAAAAACTAAGATTGCTGCTGGAAGAGGTGTTAGTGGGGCCAATAGAGGGAGCTCACCCTGCGGTCCATGTGGGCCCTAATGCCCCAGTATAGTGACGGGGAGACTATACTGTAAAACAAGCGCCGTCCTTTGGATGAGAAGTAAAACCGAGGTCCTGAATCTCTGTGGTCATTAAAAATCCCAGGGCGTTTCTTGAAAAGAGTAGGGGTGTAACCCCGGTGCCCTGGCCAAATTTCCCATTGGAAATTTCCCATTGGCCTTTACCAATCATGGCCTCCTAATAATCATGCCCAATTGGCATCATTACTCCGTTCTCCTCCCCACTGAGAGCTGGTGTGTGGGGAGCGTTCTGGCGCACTATGGCTGCTGTCGTATCATCCAGGTGGGGCTGCACGTTGGTGGTGGTGGAGGGGAGTCCCCATTACCTGTAAAGCGCTTTATGTGGAGTGTCCAGAAAAGCGCTATATAAGTGTGAGGAATTATTATTATTATATTTATTATTACCAGAGCTGAAGGTCTGTTTCTCTCTGTGAAGAGAGTGCTTCTGTTGAGACGGGAGCAGACGTCGCACGTTTTTGATGGTCACAGTCTTATAGTCAATCTCCAGGATGTGGCCACTCTTGCTGCTGGCGAACCTGAGCGGCATAAAAAAAAAACAAAAGAAAATTGTTTCAGGAAACAAAATACTCCAAGACTTTTTCCTGATGTGTCCCACATGTGATCCAAAATAAGACAATTCAAATGCTTGTTGTGTTGATCCGAAATCTAAATGCAATGGGCTTATCAGAGCCTCTCACACCTCTCACTCGCAGGTGTTAAAGGTGGCTCAGTAAAAAACAGGACAAAAGTAGTCTGGCGCAGGGATAAGGGATCAGTTTAAATTCAGCACACCTGCTGATCTTTGGAGATCCTCAAGAACACACACTTAACCCTTTGTCACGCTCTTGTGCTCTATAATCGTATTACTTTGAATGGGAAATATGAAATGGTTTTGGCACATCTTAGCACCTTTCGCTCATCAACAACTAAATTCTTTAGTTATTTGTTTCTACGTTTTATTCACATGTGAGGCGGTAAAACTGAGTAGAAAAATCTTGGAAATGTCTTTGTGTCCAATGACTCACATTGTGGGAAAACCCCATTCGCACTTCACAACGGACTGCCCTCCCATCTCTTCACTCAGCCACTCCTGGCCCAGTGAGCCCAAGAGACAATGGTAGCGCACTGTGGAGCACTAGGCATTGGAACACGACTCAGAAGCTAAGCATTCCAGTTCTGAACCTGTGCCGTCAGAAGCAGGAAGGCTCGACAGCTCTGCGCTTGACGGAAGGTCAGACTCACAGAGTCCTGTCCTCGGGCTCCCTGTCGGCGAGGTGACCCTCCTCGAAGACGATGTCTGTGAACTCCATACAGTGGTATTCTCCCAGATTGACAGGGCAGGAGCGCAGAGCCCCGCTGCGGACTCGCCACAGACGGATATTATCCCTCCCACATGACACCATCCTGAGGAAACACACGGAGACCCAGTGACCTCAGCCATCTGTACTGCCTTCTATACTCCAGCTACACTAAACTGATTTATGAACCCAAATACTACATTTTACATTGGCAAAAAAGAGTTTAAGAGGAGCTGGTCTCTTGAACATGGAAATCATGGTAAGATCAATGAGATTAACTGAAACAACATTGAAAAAGTCTAAAGCTGAGCATCGTACACAAAAAGCAACCATGCTAGAGAGTCTGTTACTATACTAGGTCAGTACAACTGCATGCCTTATGTGCCACCTGTAAGCGGGGTGTCAGGTTGTCAGGAATCTAAAAACATCAGTTCCCAAAATGGACACCAAGGGTGTGTTTGAATAAATAGTCCCTTTTTTACCTGGTGTCATCGAAGAAGGCGATCTTCATGGCCTGAATGTCTACGTCAGTGTGAGCCTTTGCCATCACCACCACCTCCCCGCCTCTCTGTACCTTCTGCGTGTTCCACACCACCACCATCTGCCCCAGAGCACAGACACAACAGGGGCACACCCTGATCACCCGCAAGGCCCCACACAGCGAGTGTGGAATAAGAACTACAAGTCCCCCATGACCCAGCGATGAACAGAAACAAGTAACTGGAGGTGCTGTTCACTCTGGCCTTCACATGGCTGCTTCTTTTACAAACTTGGAACTGCAAGTTAGTCTTCTTTTCATAACCCCACAACCAGAAATTGCCAGCACTTCATCAGTTTAATTTGACCTCAACATCCCAGTGCAAACATTGGGCACACAGTCTTTTGAGACCCATGTGCCTTTAATCACACTGCAACTCTCGGTGTCTGCAGCACAGCTGGTATAAACTGGAGGATGGATTCACCTCTAGCTGCCAAGACTGATGACTCAGTTATCACCAGATACACCGGGGGGCTCTTGCGCATGACGCTAACAACGCAGTCGGCTAATGACCTGTCTCACCGTGTGCTGAGAAAGACAGCCTTTTTTTTTTTTAGCAAGTAGCTTGCAGGAAAAAGGAAACTAATATTACGGCATGTTGCACAGACCCAATTCATTTAAAAGGAGTATTCTACAAACATAGAAAAATTGCAACCTTAAGCTTAATTTATATTTTTTTTAAATAGATGAAACTCATTTTAATAATGAAAATCTTTATTCAATTAAACTGAAAATTTCAAATGATGACCATTATACTTACAATTTCAGACAGGAAAATACAAACTCTTATGAGGGTAGAATTGAATTTCTGCAAGATGTGAGAATAATTTCATTTGAGCAGGTTTTAACACAAAGGTCATTTTGTGTTGCCTGTTTAACACTGACGTTCGAGAATAATACTCACGGTTTTACCATGAGAGTCTTTGCCCACTCCGCACAGGACTCCGCCACTGTGAGAAAAGCTGAAGCAAAGAGACCAAAAATGTACTGAAATGAATAAGGATTCATTTAGTTAATCAGTCTTTTCTAAATAAACAAGTTTTAAATGCTGGATCCGATGACACTGATGACCACTGAAGACGGCACCGGTTCTACACTACTGCTGGACGTTTTTAAATGAAACTAAAACCATCAACAAAGAAGAACAGTGACAAAGACCCATTCAGATGTTTACTTGGCTTAAACTCCATCATCTGCATAGAAATGGAATTCTGCACTTGGACGGATCCTGCACTTTTTTATTTAATATTAACAGATATCATATATCCAGATTCCTGATGCATCTTAGAAATGGAGGAAGAATGTGTCAGCACATATAAAACATGCTCCACATGGTTACTGAGACAGGACAAGTAATTAACTGCCTAATAAAACTACTGCCACGCCTCCCATAGTTTGGATTAAAAACACACTTCTTGGCCATGAATATTTATTTCACAAATCATTCATTGCTATCTTGTCACTTGCAGCAAAATTTGGGGCGTTGGATGATGTTCTCTGGAATGGCACAGAGCAGGTTTTGTGAGTTATAGCCTCCCTGGTTCTCCCAGAACGTGTCCTTGGCGGAGGCCAAGGGGGTGATGGGATACCTGAGTGAGGAGACAGAGTGTGCGTGGGTCTTGAACATGGCCAGACAGCTTCCCTTCTGGTAACCCCACACCCGCACCGCGCTCAGGCTGCCTGTCTGCGCCGAGGCCAGGAGAGTGCTGTTGCCGTTGAACGCCAGAGCAGACACCTGCAGCAGAGAGCACAGAACCACAAATCCTAAGCCGACCCCAGAAAACTGCAAGCCTTGATCATATCGTTAGGCTTGCTCTATTACGATGTAGATGGTAAGGAAATGTTTTCCCCTCACTCACTTTTCTCTTTCAGAGAGAAAGCAGTGAAAAGTGCCTGGGCCTTTGCCACCTCTAGGAATTCCCATGCATTTGTTAAAGGCTAAAGTACTTGTAGTATGCTGCAGGATCCTCTGGCAATAAGCCTAAAAAGACAGTGAGCAAACGTGATCTGCGATCTTTAAGCCTCAGTCTGGAGCCTCGGGAGGCTATCTTAACAAAATTCCTTTGCTTTTAAAGGAAAAGAAAGGGGAGATCTTTGATGTATAGAGAACTTGATAATCATACTAAAATGGACTCAACACATGTTTGAGAAGGACTCTATGCTGACAATTTTGAATTCTGCTTGCTTGGGAAAACAGAGCTGATGTCATTTCTGGGGCAGCCTGGTAGAACCTTTAGCTTTAATAATGGTAAAGCATATGAATGCTTTACTGTATATAGCAAGTGAGTATTATACTCATTTTCCCTATGTCTAGAAACTACAGTGCATCTACAATTACATGTTATTAGTTTCTTTCTGTTACTTCATGGATGTGGATTTATAGTGAAATTCTCACTTTCAGGTTCACCGTTTAGTTTAAGTCGAGTCTGATTAATTAATCACTCTGGCTTAGGGTCTGAAGATTTTATCTGTATAATGTGATTCCCCGCATATCAAAAGGACTGAAGGCTGCTATCAAACATACCTTATCTGTGTGACCGATAAAAAACCTCTGCTGTCCAGAGACGATTTTCATGGAGACAATTACAGCATGGCAGGGGTACACCACAGCCTCTCCTGTCTTTGTCCACAGAGCCTGTGAAGTTCACAAACCCAATTCACATCAAAACACTGGGTTAACTGACTCCCACGGTTAATTGCGAGCATTTGCTCCAAAACCAAATCATTTGCATTTTACCTTCTCAAAGATCATGCATACACCAGCTTTATCTGATATAATTTCTACCATGAAAAAGCATTCCAGTTGAACAAAAGAGTAAATAAACAAGGAAAAAGTTAACTTATTGAAACCTCAAAGCCAATTTGCAGAGTGTAAAAACTGACCTCAAGTTCATTCAGTTTCAAGCTAATTTGTCAAAATATTTTTCAGCAGGAACTAATCCATTTTTCTTGCCATCTTTACTCTGGGCAGCTCATTCAAAAGTCTAACTCACACATTTTGTCGTACACCCTCCAAAGCCGATGATCCGGTTTAATTTCAGAATGGGATCAGGATGCAGGTTCTGCAGAAATAAAGTCGGTGCTTTTAAAGCCAGAAACATTGGCAGTAAAGCAGACTTCCCATGGCAACTTTGAAACAAACAAATATCAGCCCTTAACACCACTGTGCCCACACAGTAATTTCAGATTACCATGCTGTAACAGTGGACATTTACACCAAGACTTGCTGGCGTGTATCATAGTCACATAAAATACCAATAAAACATTTAAACCATAGTTGAATAAAGAGCCAGATGTTTGTAGTTTTATCCTAGAACATTAAGAATAGTTACAAATAAAAGCAGTCCATTGGGCCCATCTACTATATTTGTTTTTTAAGGATCAATCTATATAAGGATCTGCCCTGTAAGAGCAGTTGTGGAACTACTAAGCTCTAAAAGTGGCCACTTTCTACAACTACAATCAATAAGAAAAACTGTATCTCCTTTATTCTACACTCTTTATTAAAAGTCCCTGTCCAAGTCAAGAACTGGGATCACAACTTTAAAAAGATCACCTGCAGGTTTCTGTTCTTAAAGCACATCTTGTCTTAAGACTCAGTACAAAAGGAAAACTGGCAGAGATCAGATGCTTACTGTACGCTCCAATACTTTCTTTGATTGCAGGGACACTGGTCTGGTCACTTTAGTGCACACCGTCTGAAAGAAGAAAAACATTATACGTCACAGTGTAAACTGATATACAGAAGTCGAGTTGCTCCGAAAAATGTTAAGTAGGGAATGGGAAGAGACAGGAAACAGCAGGGAAGACGGAATTAGTGAACAGAGAAACCAGGAACTCCAGAGAAAATTAGGAGCGCTTTGAAGCCACGGTTTTTACCTCTTCTGTGTCGCTGTCATGTCCGGGGACAGTGATGTCACTGTCCCTGTGTGCGAAGACATGGACTGCCCCATCATCAGAAGCGAGGGGAGTCCCACTGTCTCCCTCCGCTCCCTGCTCTGTGGTCCTCCCTCCCCCAGCCCAGCTCTCCCTGAGCTCCTCGCCCACTGGCACCGAGGACACCCTCCCCAGCTCAGGGACGCTGGCAGTCACTGGGGGCGTGCGATGGCGGGGACGCTGCCGAGACACAGCTACACACACTTACTAAGGTGTCCACCAGCCTTTCTTAACCAAAACAGCATCAAATATTTATACACAACAGTATCTGCTGAATATTTAAGAATGAATAATAATCTGCCGTCAGTATATAGCAGATTTCATCGAAACGTTTCACAGCACTAAAAACAGAAATAGGCATCTATTTATTCACCCTAAATGCCCGAATAACGGAGACTCACGGGCTTAGGGGTGGTGATCTGCTGAATCAAAGAGACTCGGTCCTGCACTGGTTTGCTGACGTTCACACTGCGAGCCAGTTCTCTAACAGGGCTCGGAAGTACCGGAGCACCTATTGGGAAGCAAAAACAAATCAGACACACAAACATATATACTGTGCATACTGATACGATGTGGCTGTGAGATAAGAATCCCGCTGGAAGGTCACACTGCACTTACCTGCAGCTCGAAGAACATGTCCTTTCTGAATAGAATCAAACGGCATCTTGGTTCCATCTGAAGGAAACCTAGGGAATGAACATGCAGAATAAAGGGTAAAACATGCGAAGTTCCACTGACAGAATTATAACCTCAACTATTCAATATTTCACCGTTAAGTGTCTTCTTATAAGTCTGCAACTGAATCGGGTGCCGACTCCTTCCTCGTGGGCTTAGTCACAGACCCCAGGATGCACCATGTCAGTGTGAGGTACAGAATGTGCTACATAACATAACATCACTTTATTAGCCCTATACAATTTTTATTGCATTAGGAATTCGTTTGTTTGCATACCCCAGCTTGCTCTCCATGAGACACAGACACACAGACAGGGAGAGAAGCTTGGGGTCAGAGCGCAGGGTCAGCCATTGTACAGCGCCCCCTGGAGCAGTTGGGGTTAAGGGCCTTGCTCAGGGGCCCAACGGAGTAGGATTCCTCTGCCGGCTGCGGGATTTGAACCGGCAACCTTCCAGCCACAGATCCATCGCTCAGCCCTGGTCATCAGCACAGCTATTGTTTTCAGTCTCTGACCTGGACTATGACAGGTGTGAATAACCCAATAGCTCCTCAAGTGAAATTAGGAAAAGGTACTTAGCCTCTGCCAAACATAACATGCTGACCGTCCAAGAGAAGGACTTCACATGAAATGAGGCGTTAAGACAAAGACACCAACCTGATGTAGTCATACAGATCATGCCAGCTGCCCCCTTTTGGCACAGGAAAACTCATCTCGCGTGGCATGGGACTAGCACCCTGCAGGGCCTCAACCCCAGCTTGTCTGGCTTCAGAGAAGGTCAAGCCTAGGATGTTACAAAACAGGTAAAACATGCATGAAACGCTTTGAAGAAAATATTTAGAGGGAATGTCACTGAAGGGCTGGGATGATGTCCTAGTTTGCTACAGCTCCACTTACATTGTCTTTAAAAAGGCTGCTTGGACTACATATAGGTTAACAATAATAGCATACAAACCTTGTAGACAGTTTGCGGTGGTACACCACAGCACAAGCACAGTGTAGCATATTAAAAATACAGCATGGAGAGGTGTAGTAAACCATAGTACAATCCAAGGGAGACCATGGGCACTTCTTAAACAGAAGCTTCAAGCTAAACGGGAGGAAATTGAATGAGCAAGGACATGATTCTGGCCAACTTCTGGTATAAACAGCACCACACTAATCACAAATAGGGCAAAATTTAATACAAATCAATTCAATCATAGGAAAAAAGCATGTTAGGCAATCTTCTCCTTTTATAAACTGCAACTGCAAATGCAACGGCCATTTGTATGCAGGCGTTGCTAACCTCTCCCCCAATCTAGTATAGCACTGGATCCCAGTCCTGGTGCTGGAGGCCTCACACCTGCTGGATTTCATTCCAGCTGAGCTTAATTACCTAATTGAAGCCTTAACTGAATTAACAAGCTGCTTGATTGTAATAGTTGCAAGGATATTTTTGGACTCAAAGAGTTTGCCATTTGATTTTAATGAGGAAACAGCTAAAAGGTTATCTCCAGCAAATTCAAAATCTGAGAACAGCCACAAAAGTTCAAATCATCCAGTTCTTAAGCCAATATGTGGTGTTGTGGGGCCAGTAGGGGGCGCGGAATCTGCGGTCTCCGTCGGTCCTAATGCCCCAAAACAGTGGTGGGGACACTATACTGTAAAAAGGTACCGTCCTTCAGAAGAGACGTAAAACCGAGGTCCTGACTCTCTGTGGTCATTAATAATCCCAGGGTGTTCCTTGAAAACAGTATGGATATTACCCCGGCATCCTGGCCAGACTTCCCATTGGCCCTTACAAATCATGGCCTCCTAATCTATGAACTGGCTTCATCACTCTGTTCTCCTCCCCACTGAGAGCTGGTGTGTGGGGAGTGTACTGGTGCACTATGGCTGCCGTCGCATCATCCAGGTGGGGCCGCACACTGGTGGTGGTGGAGGGGAGTCCCCATTACCTGTAAAGCGCTCTGAGTGGAGTGTCCAGAAAAGGACTATGTAAGTGTAAGCAATTATTATTATTAATATCACAGATTCAATGGCGTAACCGACAGCTTGGCTAGAACAAAAACCAACAGGTGTGTGGGTCTCCAGACAGGGAACTCCTGCTGTACAGTCTGTAATCAGCCTACCTGGGTCACACAGCAGATCACTGGTGAACATGTTCTTCACTGACATATTGGCACACAGCTTGATGCTCTTAAGGTGGCTGTGGCGGCGGTTCAGGTAGATCGACAGAACATAGTGCAGGTCCATCATCAGACACGTCCATCGCACACTGGGGGGGGCAGGACCCACCAGGCCTCAGGGGGAGTCAAAGAAAGAGATGGCAACTCACTACACCTTGAACATCCAGCTTTCCACCACTTCATCCTAATGGCAATTTCTTCAGGATAACAACAACAAACAGATGCTACTCCAGCGCTTTAGTTAAAAAAATAAAAGAGCTTGGTCTCTATGGCTTTAGTGTAACGGAAGATTATTCATAATTATGTAATTCTGCAGTCAACAACACAAGAGAACAATGAGCACTAATTAAGGGGGCTGGGTTAATTGGAGGGATGTGCAACAGATCGCAGGGGGCTCCGATTTTGAAGGGAGGAAAAAACGTGTGTTTTAATGTGTCAAACAGGAAACAATCAGCTCAGTCAGCCTTAAGGAAGTAAAATAACTCATTACCACATTACCGATGATCCCATCGAGGAAAGGGAAAGCCTACAAATTCAATATTTTCGGGATGAGGGGCTGTGCTGTTTACCTTGTCGGGCGGTCTGAGCAGTGCTCTCGTACACAGAGCCCTTGGCAGCTCCGCAGATGAAGGGGAACTGCAGCCAGGTGGCAGTGGATTTGAACTCCTTGAAGAGGTTGGAAAAGGAGATGCGGATCACCTGGCCATCCTGAAAAGGTTATAAGACAGGGAATAAGATGAGATCACTCTACTAGCCATACACAATTTCTTGCATTAGGAATTTGTCTTTTCGCATACCCCAGCTTACTCTCCGTGAGACACACAGACAGAGAGAGAGAGAAGCTTGGGGTCAGAGTGCAGGGTCAGCCATTGTACAGCGCCGCTGGAGCAGCTGGGGTTAAGGGCCTTGCTCAGGGGCCCAACAGAGTAGGATTCCTCTGCCGGCTGTGGGATTTGAACCGGCAACATTCCAGCCACAGGCGCAGATCCTTAGCCACAGAGCCACTGCTTCATCATCCCTTTCTCTTCTTAAATCTAAGTCAGGGCAGCTTAAGATCACACTTTTTCAATTCAACAGTGGACACTGCTGCTCTTAAGGTATCCAGAACTGTGGCCCTTATACTTTATTACGAATAATCAGAGAAAGCAATTATTTGGTCAGGAGAAGAAGGTGTAGGAGGGTGAACTGCGATTACCACAGGGAGGCACAGCCTCAGAAAATACTGCCTACTGCCAAACGAATTTCCATGTGAGCCTCTTTTGCAAACGTTTTAAGACCTCTAAATGACAAAAGACTAGAATATGTGCTACTCTCTACGCTGTCAAATTGTTGAATAAAAGAAATCTGCTTTGTTTTTGTTTTTTCTAGGTTATTTTTCTTTTTTATTGAGCTTGGCTCATTATTTCCTCCTTTATGGTGGGCCAGTGGAACTCGGTGTACTGTTAATGTATAAAAGAAAGCAAAGAAATGCAGATATTTTATTAGTTATACAAATACTTCATTATCCCGGTACCTCAGTGGCTACATCCAGGTGCACCACAAAGTGTTTGCCAGGGCTGGGTCTGAAGAGCAGGTAGAGGTAGCGGCCGGTCAGTCCCAGCGACTGGGTGCTTGTTTTAGGGAGAAGGATGTAGTTGCTTGCTGGGATGGACCCGCGGATCCGATACACAGAGCACTTAAGGGTTTTGTCCTGAAAGGTAAAAGAAATCAAAATAATAGACTGTAGAGAGAGACAGATGAAGAAATTTAACAGACTAGAAAAAAATGAAAATCACATTCCATAGGATACCAGGAGAGAGAAGACGTGATCTTTGTAATGTTAAAGGTAAATGCACATGTAGGACATGCAAGGATTTTAAGGATGCAATTAAAGAGTTGTTTTGATATGCACTTCCCGTGACTGTGTTTGTAACATATTAATGTTATTTTGCATGATACTCACAAAACATCGATGATAGTGAACCATTTTATGCTTATTGTTATGAATATGAACAGTAATTACTGTCCAACACACCAACATAAAGCTATCTTTTGTATCTCACAATAATACTGGAGGCAGCATGTGCAGTTTTGATTACTGTCAATGAACCATTGATCCAACACATAACCCTGTAATTGTAAAAGTCTCCCATCAACTAACACACCCACAAGTGTGGGGCAAGGACTCCCTCGGTACTTTCATTCATGATATGTTTGTAAGAGATAGGCTTACTGTAGATACATCTCGCTTTTAATAAGCTTTGCTTCAGTTTCCCCAGAACCATTAAAAAAAAGCCGGATGGGACCCTTGCAATAACGAGACACTAATAATAATTGCTTACACTTATATAGCGCTTTTCTGGACACTCGACTCAAAGCTCTTTACAGGTAATGGGGACTCTCCTCCACCACCACCAGTGTGTAGCCCCACCTGGATGATGCAACGGCAGCCATAGTGCGCCAGTACTCTCCCCACACACCAGCTCTCAGTGAGGAGGAGGACAGAGTGATGAAGCCAGTTCAGAGATGGGGATTATGATTGGTAAGGGCCAATAGGAAATTTTGCCAGGACGCCGGGGTTACACCCTTCTCTTTTTGAGAAACGCCTTGGGATTTTTAATGACCACAGAGAGTCAGAGCCTTGGTTTCACATCTCATGTAAAGGACGGCACCTTTTACACTAGTGTCCCCTTTACTAGGGCATTAGGACCTAAACAGACCACAGGGTGAGCACCCCCTACTGGCCCCACTAACACCTCTTCCAGCAACAACCTTAAGTTTTTCCCAGGAGGTCTCCCGTCTGCTTAGTTTTAGTGGGCTGCCAGTTGTGAGCTGCAGGGTGATACAGCTGCTGGCACTAGCAACGGAATGTGCAAGATGGGCCGATACTTTACATATTTCCAACACAGAAGGAACACAGGGCCAAGACCAGCACTGGCACTTGCCCATGCAAACTCTAGGCCCTTCAAGACGGACCTTTTCCCGTTTGGTTTACAAACAACATTCGAGACACCTTCTGAGAGGGATTTTAAGCCTGGCAGATCCACAGAGGCCACCACCTTGACAATTCACCTCCGAGACGCCCCAGATCCGTGACAGACACGTGACAGATTAAATCAGAGGACAGAGGACGGCGTGGACACAGGCCAGCCCCAGCCGAGGCCGGGGGCGGCCTGTCTCCTGCCCAGGAGCGGCGTGCTCTGTTGCTGTACCATGTATGTCGTCACATCCCCCTCTCTGGAGCACTTCTTCCAGTCCTCCACCCGGACGTGCTTGAAGATGTTGACGTAGGGATGCTGCCACACTAAAGACACAAGCAGATTGCAGCCACGACTGGAGCAGCTTCAGACAAGAAGAGTTTCCAGCCTGAGTCTAGCAGAGCCGGGGGTCCGAGACTACATTACTGGACCGTCCTCTGTTTTTTTCCTTCCAAACTGAGTAGTTTTTCTAAGTATACTTTACGATTGATGACTTAAAACAACCACTTTATTAAGGAGACAGTCACTTATAAAACACTTTAGGGCCTGATTAGGAGAATCAACAATAATGCAGTAAATTACATAATTAAACCAGTTACTTAACTGAGAGCTCAGCTGGAACAAAATCCAGGAGCCTCCGGCCAGGAAATGAGTCTGAGACCCCTGAGCTCATGTATGTCAACTGTATGCAGTGATTTTGACTGCCACCGAAGACAATTTCACTGTAACCCCCTATTTAAAAAAAAAAAAAGAAAATCCCCCAAAAGTCAAGGAAAACCTTAAAAGAAAAATCCCCCCTAAAAACCGAAAAAACCCAAAAAAACCAAACAACCAAAACAATAAAGGGGCAAGCGGAACAAGTCCGGAAGGTAAAGAAAACCCAACCAAGTTGAAGAAAGTAAAAAGGTGGGAAAAAAAAAAAGACTTCTGCTGCAATAAAGTTGGGGTTGATGACATGAGGCACGATGCAACCCTTATCTAACCCGTTACTGAGCGCTATTCAGTAAGGGTGACTGCGTGTTATCCGTGTTTAAATATACAATAAACAAAACGACTTTACCTTTGGTGGACATTGTGAGCAGTATATTTAAAGTTAATTAAAATATCTTAAAACCGCCGTCTTCTCACAGGCTTCCTGCGTTTTCGTTATGCAGCCACCAGCCCGACTCCTTTTACGGTCTTAACACTTCTACACCTCAGGCCCGCAGACTCCACCCGCTCTTCCCGGCTCCGCGTCCCTCTTTCCCGGGTGTCGCTGTCAGAATCTTCCGCTTTTTCTCTCCGCTCCAACTGGCGACTCGGATCAATCCTCCCGCGGCGGCGACCGCCGTTTCCAACGGCAACACGCAGCACGTTCGCTACGCGCCGCGGCGCTGTGTAGTGGCCTGCCGGGAAATGCAGTTCTACTGTGCTTCCTCGTTTGTGGCCTCCTGGGAAATGCAGTCTTAAGGTTTCGTTAATTTTAAATTAACCTGTACCTTCAGCAGCAAGATAGCTCAAAAACGTTTTGGTAGTTTGGTTATATCAATGGGATAAATGTGTACGTTCATCCAGGTTACATGTGTTACACAGCAGCACATACACCATCATTCAATTCTAAAATCTTTTCAGTGTAGTAACATGGACAACTATTACAATTCTTAGTAACACAATATTTTTTTTACGGATTTAAACGAGGAGATATATTCACAACCTCTGTGTCGCAGAGACTGACATTAAGCATTCGGAAGAAGAGAAACACTGAAAATACATTATATTTAAACTAGATTAATTTGGAACATGGAAATTTGATAAATGTATACATGTAAAGAAAAGAAAAAACAGAATCACTAATTACAAAATATATACAGCACAAACCTCGTCCTTAAGCAGATGTTATGACTTTGTAAATACGGTAAGTAGATGTCTACACCACTGAAAATATATACAGCATGTACAAAAAAGCAGTTTCTCTAAACCTAATTTCAGATGTTATACAAAATATTTTTCCCTTAAACTTTTCAAAATGTAAAACTACAGATCTGGAAATACATTTTTTATTCAGTCAAGATGGTCTCTTAGATGAGTAAGAGCAGGGTGTGATATTTAGAGCATTCCATGACATCCAGAAACGTCTGAAGTCCAGACTCAGCCCCCCACCCCCTCCCCAGATTCTGCCAACAGGGTGGGCTTCAGCTGAGGTTGTGATGAGGGTGATGAGGTGTCGGAATGAGCTGCACTTCCACCAGATTCCAACAAAATCGAGAGCTGGGGATTGATCTGACAGGGGAAGTTGATGACAGTCCGTCTCTTGCTCCTGTAAAAAGCACCCATCGCCTGCCACTGAGACAGGCTGTTCTTCCAACTCAGAAAACTCCTAATGATCTTGGCCTGTTAGTGTACAAGGTCTTTTTATTCTTCACCTCTCTTTCTCGACGAATTTCCCCCCTTCTGGAATTCAGAACGCTGTTTTGATTTACTAACGCACTGGCTCATTTTAGTCTGTCCTTTCAACTCTCTATCAGACTACAAAACTAAACCGCAGCTGGGCACAATTTACCCTGTTCAAAGCCTTCACACTCAGACTCCGCATTTCCAAAAGGACATTAAAGGGATAAGCAACCGTTTTTTAAAGAAAATCACAAATTCAAGAAGAAGAGTTTCAAATGAATCAAAGCCACTGGAAATTAACTCCAGTCACTGACACGGCTGAAGAGCTTGTAGGTTTTGGAAATTAAAATTGTGGCAAAACGTGTTCACAGGTCTACCACATTTCAGGTCCTGATCCATATTGCGAACACTGGATATTTAACTGGTTAGCTGCTGTCTCAGCAGACAGTGTACAGCTTTGGATCATTAGAAAACTGTCTTTTACTTTTGTCAAACATGTGTGGAACATTAGTATAAATACAGGCGTGTGACATTCATTTACAC